TGGCTCTCCAGTGCTGTCAATCACAGCTTGTGAGTCAATAAGGAGAGATCAGGGGGCTGGGGCCAAGCCGTGGCTTTGTCTTATGGACGCATAGAGCAGGGCTCTGGAGTGAGTATGCACCAGTTCCACCGATAGCAAGCAACTTGCTGATGGGGGCACTGGTCAAGGGGGAGGAGCCAGGAATGCAAGGGACCTGAGAAGTGGAGGATCGGGGCTGCTCTGTACAAAACCATTGCACAGAGCAGGTAAGTATAACATGTTTGTTGGATATATGATTGCACTGCATACTTGTTAAATGATTGTAGAGTATTTTTTTGGTGTTTTTGACTAAATTTGGCACAAGCCCCTACATGTTTTTTTTTCCTTATGTCTTTTTGCTCTTAGTTGTCACCTTTTAAAAGGAGAAGTTTGAGCTCATGAACAACATACGTACTCCTTGCCCATGCTGCAGCATTGGTGTGATGCTGCATCTATCCCCCGCTGGCTCTAAGACAGAGAACTGAGCAATCACATGCCATATGACTGCTGATCCCTCCGTTCTTGGTCCACTGTGAGCAGAGAGCGGTGACTGTTAGTCACCGCTCTCTGCTCTTCCCCTCCAGTGCTCACTGGAGCTTTGGGCTGCGAAGGGGGCAGGAGCAGCTCAGGCTCTCAGGGCGTGCTGAGAGGCTGTGCCAGTTGCAGGTTGGATCCTGACAATATGGTTAGGATCCTTCAAGACCCTTCACTGGCTGTGTGACATCAGCCAACACTGGTTCTGGGTCACAGAAGAGCACAAGTAAGTGCACTCCTTTGACCCACAAGAGAAGTATGGCCAAAAAAGCTTTGGCCCTACTATTTTAACTCAGGAATATAAGTCATCATGCACACAGGGCGTTTTAGAAAAGCTCCTCCTCTTGCAACAGCATTTTGGCAGAAAAAAAAAGCCTGAAAGCCTGACGCTTGTCAAAGCGTTTAATGCTTTTACTATAAAGTACTGTTTTGCTTTATTGCATTTAGGCACGTTTATAGGAGTCAACACGCGTTTAACGGCAAATGTATGGGGCAGCACAGTGGCTAAATGGTTAGCACTTCCACCTGGCAGTACTCGGGTCGTTGGTTCGAATCCCAGCCACGGCACCTCCTGCCTGGAGTTTGCATGTTCTCCCTGTGCCTGCGTGGGTTTCCTCCGGGTACTTCGGTTTCCTCCCACACTCCAAAGACATGCTGGTAGGTTAATTGGATCCTGTATAAATTGTCCCTAGTATGTATATGTATGAATGTGAGTTAGGGACCTTAGATTGTACGCCCCTTGAGGGTTAGGGACTGATGTGAATATACAATATATATGTAAAGTGCTGTGTAAATTGACGGCACTATATAAGTATCTGAAATAAATATAAATAAATGTTTTTTCTGCCTAAACGCTACTGCTCCGGGACGCACTGACCCTGGGGCTTTTCTTCCTGCTGGTAAACACTACTAGAAGCATCTAAAAGTCTGTGTGCACATAGATAAGATAACATGGAGGGCCTTACTGTGCCTTTTGATTGCATACCATCTCTCTGGAAACTGTAAAAAAAAAAAAAAACCAAAAAAAAAAAAAAAAAAAAACTGATGGCCCTAAAAGTAGGTGCAAAAATGCCCTGTGTGCATGAGACCTAAAACTGCAGCAGTTATGGAGAGATGGTATGCAATCAAAAGGCACAGTAATGACTTCTCAAAATAAATAGATAAACACGTCTCAGTCGGTCACTTACCCCAAAAGTAAAAGGGTTGGTCCTCGCTTTTGGACAGTGGGCAGAGCCATACAAATCATTTCTTTATGTCCCCAGAGGCAAATTCACAACTGCTGGTAAATAGTGCAGTCATAGCCTACAAATATACAGCCATTTATTTCAAACTGCATAGAGCTGTTTCAGGCTTTTTGGGCAACAATTGCTTCTATGGAGTAGTACTTGGCACCTCTTCTTTTTGGGATTTGTGATGGAATGAGAAATATGAATACCTTCTGTTCTAAACAGGCTTTACTGTTCTATGCCCTGATTAGGTAGTAAGGCTTTTTAACCACGTTTCTACCAGGGCCTTTTTTTTTTTTTTTTGCAAATGTTAAAATGCTTATTTTAGACCAGTAGGCTAGTTAAACCCCCCCCAAACCTTATATATTTTCTTAAAGAAAATGATGGTTGCAGTTTTTTTTTTTTTTTTTTTTGTTTTTTTTTAGTCAAATGATAATTGCAAACGAGTTTATCAACGTGAGCAATTCTAAAAAAATAAAAAACGCACATGTTGATCAAATACCATCGAAAGAAAGCTTTTTGGGGGAAAAAAAGGACATAACTTTCATTTGGGTGCAGCATTGCTTTATTGCGCAATTGTCAGTTAAAGTAACACAGCGCCATATTGCAAAAAGTGGCCTGGTCAGGAAGGGGGGTAAATCCTCTGGAGGGCAAGTGGTTAAATGGCCATTACGTGGTCATGCAACACTGTAACCAAATGAAATTTGTATATTTTTTTTCACACAAATAGAGCTTTCTTTTGGTGGTATTTGAATACCTCTGTGTAAAAAAAAAAAAAAAAAAAAAAAATACCAAAAATGTATATTTTTTTGTTACTTTATGGTTTTTTTACCAAGAAATTTATTGCTGTCACATTGAAGTCCAATAGTCCATTATGTCATAACATTTTGCTGCAACAGTTTCTCTTTGCTGAGATCTATTAGATCGTTGATATTCCCCTGCCTTCCATTGAAACTAAAAAAAGCACAAATTAACTTCTTCCAAGGCCACAGCAGCTGGGGAAAGTGACAGCTGAACTTGGAAGTGACATACACATTTCTTTTTTGTGTTCATTTGCTAGAAACAGATGTTCACTGGTCCTTTCTGCTCTCCCCTGCTGACACCAGTAATGCCAGTCATGGATCCACAGGTAGGATGGCGAGGGCAGTCGATCAGGGGCTGGTAATGGCTTCCACATGAAAGCCCCTTGCCCAATCTACAAATTTAAGCACGCTCCAGGATGCTATAGTAGCTGGGAGTGTGTTAAAAATACCTGTATAGCAGCTTTCGTTTATAAACCGTGCCGGTAGGTACTTCTGTCTACCTTTGGTCACCTCTCACCATAACCCTTGTTGGATCTCAAGCCCCACACCATAGAATCCATAATTTCCATAGACAAATCCTGAAACCGCTGTATGCAGGTTGGAATTGTTGGTTCTATGAAATGTGGCAGAATCATTTGCATGGCTCTGTCCACTGTTCTGGAATGGGGGAAAATCCTCTTAATTGTTGGTTATGATATGGAGGAACCATATGAATCCCATCTGTTCTAAAAAGGCTTTACTGTGCCAACATAGGAGAGCAAAGATCAATGGCGTTTGCTTTTCCATACATGTAACAGATGATTTCTGATTGGATGGTAACTGCCCTTTGTATGTAAATGTTCTCTTTGCAGCACCTTACTGAATCTGCCTGTTGTTGTTACATTTTCATGGTACTAGTGATGGACTTCAATATGCTGGATGAACGTTACACTTTTCTGCAGATTTCTTTTACTGTTGCTATAGCAGGTTGGAACATGTCAAAGAGACTATGGTTGCTAGGAGGGAAATAGATTTTTCTCCAGTCTGACACTTCCTAAGTGACACCTTTTCTGTTTGTTTTGAACTGTACTGAAAAATCTGACACTTCATATTTAGCTGTGAATTTCAATTAGTTCCTAAAGCAAAACATTTTCATGGCTTAGGATAGCATGGGGAAAGGTTAGTACCTCAGTCTTTGCTGTTAGTATCCCTTGCTGGGGAGATTCCTCCTAACTTCCTGTCTCTGTGACCACCGGCGGCTAGGACAGGAATAAAGAACAAATTACCCCTAATGGGAAACAGGGAGCAATAAGAGCTGACAGTGGTTCTAAGTTTTCGCTAGTGTGCCCAAACCTACAAAAAGATTTTTTTAATGAAGCAGGACTTGAAGCATCAAGATGAGCACTCAGGCCTTTTAATCAGTTCATGCTGTTGTACACAGTATGTTTGTAAACTTCAGCTCATCCAAGAAACACTGTCTATGGAGGCAATTCTTTTAAAGTGGTTGTAAAGGTAGAAGGATGTTTACCTGAAAGCGTTGCTAAACCCATTACCCTGCATTCACTATATCTGGTCTCCCCGGACCCTGCATTCACTCTATCCGGTCTCCCAGGACCCTGCATTCACTCTATCCGGTCTCCCAGGACCCTGCATTCACTATATCTTGTCTCCCCGGACCCTGCATTCACTATATCCGGTCTCCCCGGACCCTGCATTCACTATATCTTGTCTCCCCGGACCCTGCATTCACTCTATCCGGTCTCCCCGGACCCTGCATTCACTATATCCGGTCTCCCCGGACCCTGCATTCACTATATCCGGTCTCCCCGGACCCTGCATTCACTATATCCGGTCTCCCCGGACCCTGCATTCACTATATCCGGTCTCCCCGGACCCTGCATTCACTCTATCCGGTCTCCCAGGACCCTGCATTCACTATATCTGGTCTCCCCGGACCCTGCATTCACTATATCTGCTCTCCCCGGACCCTGCACTCACTATATCTGCTCTCCCCGGACCCTGCACTCACTATATCTGCTCTCCCCCGGACCCTGCACTCACTATATCTGCTCTCCCCGGACCCTGCACTCACTATATCCGGTCTCCCCAGACCCTGCATTCACTCTATCCGGTCTCCCCGGACCCTGCATTCACTCTATCCGGTCTCCCAGGACCCTGCATTCACTCTATCCGGTCTCCCAGGACCCTGCACTCACTATATCTGGTCTCCCCGGACCCTGCGTTCTCTATATCCGGTCTCCCCGGACCCTGCATTCACTATATCCGGTCTCCCCGGACCCTGCATTCACTATATCCGGTCTCCCCGGACCCTGCATTCACTATAGCTGGTCTCCCAGGACTCACTCACTCTATCCGGTCTCCCAGGACCCTGCATTCACTCTATCCGGTCTCCCCGGACCCTGCATTCACTATATCTGGTCTCCCCGGACCCTGCATTCACTATATCCGGTCTCCCCGGACCCTGCATTCACTATAGCTGGTCTCCCAGGACCCTGCACTCACTATATCTGCTCTCCCCGGACCCCGCGTTCTCTATATCCGGTCTCCCCGGACCCCGCGTTCTCTATATCCGGTCTCCCCGGACCCCGCGTTCTCTATATCCGGTCTCCCCGGACCCCGCGTTCATTCTATCCGGTCTCCCCGGACCCCGCGTTCATTCTATCCGGTCTCCCCGGACCCCGCGTTCATTCTATCCGGTCTCCCCGGACCCCGCGTTCACTCTATCCGGTCTCCCCGGACCCCGCGTTCTCTGTGTCCGGTCTCCCCGGACCCCGCGTTCTCTGTGTCCGGTCTCCCCGGACCCCGCGTTCACTGTGTCCGGTCTCCCCGGACCCCGCGTTCACTATGTCCGGTCTCCCCGGACCCCGCGTTCCCCATGTCCGGTCTCCCCGGACCCCGCGTTCCCCATGTCCGGTCTCCCCGGACCCCGCGTTCCCAATGTCCGGTCTCCCCGGACCCCGCGTTCCCCATGTCCGGTCTCCCCGGACCCCCGCGTTCCCCATGTCCGGTCTCCCCGGACCCCGCGTTCCCCATGTCCGGTCTCCCCGGACCCCGCGTTCCCCATGTCCGGTCTCCCCGGACCCCGCGTTCCCCATGTCCGGTCTCCCCGGACCCCGCGTTCCCCATGTCCGGTCTCCCCGGACCCCGCGTTCCCCATGTCCGGTCCCCCCGGACCCCGCGTTCCCCATGTCCGGTCCCCCCGGACCCCGCGTTCCCCATGTCCGGTCCCCCCGGACCCCGCGTTCCCCATGTCCGGTCCCCCCGGACCCCGCGTTCCCCATGTCCGGTCCCCCCGGACCCCGCGTTCCCCATGTCCGGTCCCCCCGGACCCCGCGTTCCCCATGTCCGGTCCCCCCGGACCCCGCGTTCCCCATGTCCGGTCCCCCCGGACCCCGCGTTCCCCATGTCCGGTCCCCCCGGACCCCGCGTTCCCCATGTCCGGTCCCCCCGGACCCCGCGTTCCCCATGTCCGGTCCCCCCGGACCCCGCGTTCACCATGTCCGGTCTCCCCGGACCCCGCGTTTTTATCTTTTCTCATCAGCAGTTTATGGCAGTCTTGAGACTTCTGTCAGTCCATCTGAGCACTGATTAAAGCTTGTAGGAGGAGTTTTCATTCTGCTCTGACTGTCCTATGAGGCTGTATAACCCCTGACCCTCTGTCTGCACAGTGCCGACTGACCCTGTGCAGATCAGATGCACCCTCCCAAAGGGAAAAAAAACTCGCAATACTCACTAAACTGAGCAAGTGCAAAGCGACTTTTAGAGCTCTGTACTATCAGAAGATGGATTGGAGACAATAGAAGGGGAGGAACAGAGAAGACAGGATCAAACAGCCTTTTAACACAATTCGAAAGACTAACCTCTTAGATTCTGCATTGAATATAACAAACATGCTTTACTGCATCTACAGACTGATTTTACTGTTGAGGGTTTAATAGCACATTAATGCATTTTCTGCATTAAAGTAAATAACTCTGTGTTCTGCTCCTCCTCCAGCCCCCCTAAATAAGTACCTGAGCCCGATCTCAATCCAGTGCTTTCCTCGAGAGCAGCAGCTCTCTCCTCACTGGACAGAGGCAGCAGTGGCAGCCATTGGCTCCTGTTTCTGTCAGTCACAGTAAGTGAGGAGAAAGCGGGGGTTGGGGACAAGCACTGTGTGTGTCATTGTGGCTCGGGATTGATCTCGCACAAGTGCCAGCATATCGGCTTGCTATGGGGGCAGTCGGAAGAGAGGTGGAGCCAGAGGCATCAGCAGGGGACCCCAAAAGAGGCAGATCGGGGCTGATATGTGCAAAACCATTGCATAGAGCGGGTAAGTAGAACATGTTTGTTGTTTTTAAAAAATCCCTTTGCAATCACTTTAAAGCCGCCTTAATTTACGACACACTGCGGCCATCATATGACACTTCTGCCATTTTTCATCTCAGAGGTTGTTTAGGGAGACTAAGACTATGCTGGTGGGGTTCACACTTTTAAAAAATATATTTGAGGCTGCCAGCTGTGTTTCTGCATGTGAATATTTGCTTCACATTTGTTTTTGCTTTTGCTGGTTCAAATTCCAAATGTGGGTCCTAGTTTACCCCACTGAGAACACAACCCATGTATTTAATAGAGACCAGTGACATCAATGAGAATGCAGATTATCCATTCACTAGAGGCTGGTGACATCACTGAGAATGCAACCTATCCATTCACCAGAGGCTGGTGACATCACGAAGAGTGCAGCCTATCCATTCACCAGAGGCTGGTGACATCACAAAGAGTGCAGCCTATCCATTCACCAGAGGCTGGTGACATCACGAAGAGTGCAGCCTATCCATTCACCAGAGGCTGGTGACATCACGAAGAGTGCAGCCTATCCATTCACCAGAGGCTGGTGACATCACGAAGAGTGCAGCCTATCCATTCACCAGAGGCTGGTGACATCACGAAGAGTGCAGCCTGTACATTCACCAGAGGCTGGTGACATCACGAAGAGTGCAGCCTGTACATTCACCAGAGGCTGGTGACATCACGAAGAGTGCAGCCTATCCATTCACCAGAGGCTGGTGACATCACGAAGAGTGCAGCCTGTACATTCACCAGAGGCTGGTGACATCACGAAGAGTGCAGCCTGTACATTCACCAGAGGCTGGTGACATCACGAAGAGTGCAGCCTGTCCATTCACTAATGACATTGTCCCACCCCACCTTACCTCAGATGTCAAGAGCCCCCCACCATCAGAAGTCGAGTCCCCACCCTCCTTTACATCACAGTGCACCCCCCCTCCCTTGTTGCTGCTAGTGGTATAGCTGTGATGCAGAAAGTGCAGGGTCTGGAGGAGCTGGAGTCAGCTGCCAGAGTGCTGAATGCTAAGACTAGGGGAGGCAGAGACGATGGGGGTGCTGTGGCTGCACAGAGAGGTGCAGGATGTGTAAGAGGAGGTCTATCCTCCTCTCTGCTGCCGACTGCTAGATGTTGGGAGGGAGGTGCGCCTCTTTGTGGCTGCACAAAGAAGCGCAGGATCTGGTGGAGGAGTTTTGTCCTCCTATCTGCTGACTGCTAAAATGGGTGTGGAAACAAAGGGGGGTGCCGCAGTTGCAGGAGGGGTGTGAAGGCCACATGAAACATACTGACAGGCTGGATTTGGCCCTTGGGCCTTGTGTTTGACACGTGGACTAGGGCAGTTTTTCAACCCTTTTTTTTTTTTTTTTTTTTTTTTTTCCAGTCAAGGCACCGTTTAGAGTTGCCCACAGTCCCAGGGCACACCAGTCTGAGGGCACATTCACACCAAGAGGTGCATGTTTTTTGTGCGCTCATGCACACTGCATTTTTTGATAAATGGCACCTACACACATTTGCATGAGCATCCCCTTCTAGCACCCCCAAATCCCTCCCACTACAACCCTCCCCCTAAATCTCTCCTCCTAGCCGCGGCACCCCTGAGTTCTTCTTGCGGCACCCCAGTTGAAAACACTGGTCTAGGGGAACAAAAAAGTAAAGTAACATGATCCTCCACCGCCAGACCATGGGGGCTCGCCATCTGCCAGGAGAGCGGAGATTCAGGGAAGTAAAATGGTTTCTCCTCTCCCCTGGACAAAACTAGCTGTTAACCCTTGCATTGTGGGCCCAGCCCCACTGCAAGTGATCTTTTTTTTTCTCTGACTGGAGTTGTGCTTTAAAGCTGAAATTTCCAGTGCCTTGCCTTTTTTTCTACTCAGCCAGATATCCACACATCCACCATACAACATAGCCAGTAGAACGTCAGCACTCATTTACTATTTCAGCTTCCTATGTCAGTTGCCTGCTGGTTGAGCAATTGATTAGCATTATTCCAGTAAGAAGCCGTGCTGAATTGGGCAACGAAGAAGCTCCTATATAGGTTGTGTGCTTAGCTGTCTGTTTGGAATTCCACCAAGACTGGATGTTTCTACAGTGAATGGTGACCTGGTTATGTCTGGAATGCTGCAGCTAAATTGATGAAACACCTCGGGTATCCAGCTGTTGAGCAACTAATCAAGATAAACATGGCCGAGATAAATAATTGCTTTGGGTGTTGGTTGAAGTTATTTATCAAGAAGGTGGCACAGGCTGGTCCAGTCTCCAACATGCAGAAAAATGCCCCGCTCGTATTTTGATTTGATAGCAGTAGCTGGTGGACAGCTTGGCGGCATTGTGCAGATGGACGGCGCTGGCACAGAGCACCAGTGTTGCCTGCAATTGGTATGCCAGCCTTCCCCGCGCTGTCCTCCCAGTGGCAGACAAAGGCTCTTTGTGGCTGGAGGATGAGCTGAGAACCATTCCTGGTAGAGGGATTAGCCATCACCTAGCAACGTCATCCTCGTTCACCTTCCCCGCTCACTGCCTGGTCCTCAGCCAGACTTCACTTACGGCTTCATGTGTGGTTTATGAGACCAAGTCTGTCAGTTTTCTGTACACAACGGAAGCTGTAACCCCTCACACCTTCTGGCCACAAGTCATCTCACACTGGTACTTTTCCATCTCTTGTTGGCTTTCAGAATGTCTCCTCTTCAACCAGAGCTGCAGCAGCCTTTTCATCCAAACCAAAGGCAAGAATGTGCGTAGAGCAGTGACCTTAGACACCAGTCACCTTACCTTCCTTCTAGTTTAGAGAAGGCAGAACAGGGAAAGCAAAGCTAAAATGTATCTCGGCACCACCAACTGAAAATGCAATTTAATTCATTTTAATATTCAAAGCACAGCATCTTGGGACACATCACAAGGCCCAGAAGGATGCAGACCATTCACAAGGAGTCACAGCCGGTTTCCCACAGTTAGCATGGAGAGACTGGAAACCCAAAGAACCGGCTAGGGTGAGGGCAAAATTTAAAAAGTCAGCAGTTACAGTATTTGTAATTGGTGACTTTTAATTTTTTTTTTGGGGGGGGGGGGGGGGGGACTTAAGAACCTCTTTATACTGCCCCGTACTACATCACTGACCTAATATCCAAGTACCGCCCAGCACGCACACTCCGCTCCTCACAAGACCTCTTTCTCTCTAGTTCCCTGGTCTCCTCTTCCCATGCCCGCCTCCAGGACTTCTCCAGGGTGTCACCCATCCTCTGGAACTCCCTGCCCCAACCCATCAGATTATCACCTACTCTCCTCTCCTTTAGGGCGCACCCTGAAAACCCATCTCTTCAGGGAAGCCTACCCCACCCCCTGCTAACTTGCCGACCTCCTCCACTCTTCCTACCACTCCATCCCCCACAGCTATCTCCTCTTGTGCCACCATCCCCTCCCTCCTAGATTGTAAGCTGGAAAGAGCGGGGCCCTCGATCCCCTCATGTTTTGCATTGTATTGGTATTCTGTCACATGTTATGTCCCCCTTTGTAATGTACAGCGCTGAGCGAACTATTGGCGCTTTATAAATACTGTATTATAATAGCTGACTGAGAAAGTTAAGTTACATGTTCATTTTAAAGATTTATGGATTAGTGCCCATGTGACATCTGACAATACACGGCTTGAATTTCATCCGTTTTCTGCTGTATCAGGCAAAACTGGAAGCATGGGTGGCCCTGTCGGCATCACTTTACTCAGCAAAAGTCAATATAAATCAACTGAGCCAGGTGGAAAATTGTCAGCTTTGGAGTGGAAAAAAAAAAAACCCTTCTGCAGGCTGTAGCTTTCATTGGAGTGGAGTTCTTTCCATTTGAAACTTTACCGCGAGGTGGGGGTTGACGATAGGTATAGGTAGTGATTTGGTTGTCTCGAGGACATGACACTCATTTGCAGTTCAGTCTCAAACTGTGCTACAATATAAAATGTGAGGCTTGGGAAAGTGTCATCAGA